TGGCCAAGGCCACCCAGCTGTCTCTATGTCTGAGGCCGAACTAGAATTCACAGCCTGCTGGTTTCTGGCCGGCTGCTTTGAACTCCAACATCCATCATCCAAGCTTTGAAACAACCAGGGAGAGAGACATGGGCTGCGGGGGAGCAGAGGGGAAGCAGCAGCCAGTCTTTTCTCCGCCCTCTCTTCCAGGCTCTACCCGGTGGGCATCACCATCCAGCGCTATCCTCTGCGAGACGTGGTGCTCCAGAATTATTGTGTGCCGGCCGGTGTAAGTGCTGCGTCCCCTCCCCCCACCCTTCACAGGCCTCGCTTGGCCTGACGGGGGGCCAAACTGGAGCCCAGGATTTCCGGGGTTCAAACCCCTGTAAAAAACAGTTCTAGGGAGCAGGAGACCCCGTCAGCCCCCCCCCCATGCACCCCCCCTTATGCCTCCCCATGGCCTTTTCCTGGATGAGGCTTGGGGGAGGCCGGCTTCTCTTCAGGCTGCCCTTCTTCGCCCCTCCCTCTTCTGGTTAACAACAGTGACTGCAAATAGTCCTCGACTTACAACATTTCACTTAGTGACCATTCAAAGTTACAACAGCACTTTAAAAAGTGACTTAGGGCCATTTCCCACACTTACGACCTCATCCCCATGGTCACGTGATCAGATTTCAGACGCTTGGGAACGGACTCATATATGCGACCATTATAGTGGCCCCGGGGTAATGTGACCCCCCTTTTCCTCACTTGTGACCGTTGCAGCATCAGACCCTTGGCAACTGGCTCATACTTACGACGGTCACGTGATCCCCGTTTGTGGCCTTTTGACAAGCCAAGTCCATGGGGAAGCCAGACTTACTTAACAACCATGTGACTCACTTAATTGCAACGATTCACTTAACAACTGTGGCAAGAAAGGTTGTAAGATAGGGCCAAACTCACTGAATAAATGTTTCGCTTAGCGACAGAAGTTTGGGGCTCAAGTGTGATGGTGGTGGGGAATTGGATCGATGGGGGCTGGGCTGCAACATGAGACCCTGCCCCTTAGGAGCCCCCCCTCTCCTGCCCTCAGACTCTCTGCCAGGTGGCGCTGTACTCCATGGGACGGAGCCCGGCGGTGTTCAAGGACCCCGAGCAGTACCAGCCCTCCCGCTGGCTGGGCAAGGAGGACAACAGCTTCAAGGCCCTGGCCTTCGGCTTCGGCTCTCGCCAGTGCATCGGCCGGAGGCTGGCAGAGGCCGAAATGACCCTCTTCCTCATGCACGTGAGTGGGGAGGGGGAGGAGGGAGGGGAAGGCGGGGGGAGGGCAGACAGTCACCTGCTCCGCCTAGGGGAGTCCTCGACTAGTGACCGTTGGCAGTCACAACAGCCCTGAGAAAAGGAGGCCATTTCTCACACTTACGACCTCATCCCCATGGTCACAATTCAAGACGCTCGGCCACTGAGTCATATTGATGACGGTGGCCATGTTCCGGGGTCACGTGATCCCCTTTTGTGACCTTCTGATGAGCAAAGTCAATGGAGAAGCTGGATTCGCTTAACGACCGGGTCACTAACTCCACCACTGCGCTGATTCACTTCACAAACGTGGCAAAAAGGTCGTAAAGTGGAGCAAAACTCACTTAACTGACTTGCTTAGCGGTGGAAATGTTGGTCAACCGTGGCGGTAACTCGAGGACTACCTGTAGGAGGAGGGCCAGGGTGGGTGCTTTGCTAGATGGCCAGCGAGCTGGCCGGGGATTATGGGAAGTGAAGCCCACTGAATGCAAAGGGGGAGGCCGGGAAGGACCCCGAGGGGCGGAGGAGCCTTCCGGGGGCCTCTCCTCCTCATGGCCATCACGGGGCTCTTGCAGATCTTGAAGAACTTCAAGATTGACACCGTCTCCAAGGAAGACCTCCACACCATCTACAGCTTCATCCTGAAGCCGGAGAAGCCGCCCAGGCTCACCTTCCGCCCCATTGACTAGAGGGCTCTCCGCGCGGAGTCATCCTGCCCACCGGCTCTTCCCTACAGTCTGCAGACGGGGGAAGGGGGAGGGGAAGGGGGAGAAGGGGCAGGACCAATTCTCAAAGACTTGGAAGCCTCCCAGTTTGCACAGCAAACTCCACACTCCTTACTAGCACTGATGAGGTTACCTAGATGGGTCGTGAGACGCCTGCCAGAAAACCACCAAGCTCACAGAGAACCAAGGACCCCTCATGCCAACCCTGATTCTCCTTCATTGATCCAGTTTCCTCCCCCAGTTCCTTTGTTCTGCCCACTCCCCATCATGCTGTCTTGGGGGGGGAAAGCCAAATAAGCCCCTTCCCATTTGCAATTAGTGGGGGGGGGGGAGAAGAGGGAGGCCTCCTGCAAACTTCGAAGCAGCATCCAGAATCTCCCTCTGAGGGAGAAGGGCGGTTTCAATGATCAATGAATAAATAAATCTTCTCCTGGCTTTTTAATTTTACTTTTTGGAGGTTTTTTTCCCCTCAGTCCATGTATGCCAAGGGTGGAAGGACCTTCTGTTGGGAATCAAGCAAAAATA